GAAACGACAGGAGTGATAATACGTTCAATGATAAGTTGAGCAACTCGATCGCCCAAATTGACTGTGAAGTCATCATTTGTATTATTGATTAGCAAGATCTTGATTTCGCCTGTGTATCCTCTGTCGATAACACCAGCACCTACGTCGATGCCTTTGACAGCTAACCTACTTCGTGGTGCAATTCGACCATAGGTCCCTCGAGGTGTTGTAAAGTGAAGTCCTGTGGATACCAATCCTCTTGAGTGTGCTTGGATGGTTGTTGGTTCTGATGTGGCTAAATCCATTCCAGCATCGTCTTCATGTGCATATTTTGGTGCGTGTGCATTTGGATTGTCTAATGTAATTTGAAGATCTCTAGAATGATCCCAATCATCTCTATCCTGGTCGTATATCTGAATGGTATCAGTGGCGGGGTCGTAGACTTGACCTGTTCTCCTGGGTGGAAAAACGCCATCGACCGGAGTGGTATCAATGAGAGATATTGGTTGAGGTGCGTCAGGATATTTTTTGTGAAATTCCTTGATGAGACGCGGAGATTTCTTCAAATTTGCTGCGGGTTCCCAAGTTTCTTCGGCTTTAGAATAACCCTTCCAATGCACCAAATATTGAAGTTTGCCACGAATGATGCGAGAGTCGACTATGTATTCGACTTCCCATTCTTCGCCAGTCTTCTTCTTAATAGGAGGACGGGGTCTGAGAGTGCGATCTGGTATTTCATCTTTGTGGTAGAGCGTGAGCTTGGACGCATGAAAAACTGGATAAACGCCGTATTGTCGTGGCATTTTGAGTCTATATGTGACTGGTCCTAGTTTTTCTACGATTTCGAAGGGTCCATCTCTCCGTTGTGCCAATTTGGCTCCCGATGTCTGCCAGTCTTTAGTGGAGAGTAAGACTTGATCTCCAACTTTGAAAGGTGCAGGTCGTACGGATTGATCATAATACCACTTCATGCGCTCAGCTGCCAATAGAATGGCTGCTTTTGCTTGCTCTTGCGCTTCTACTCGTGCCTGCATTATGGAGTCTAGCGTATTATGCTTTATAGGGTCCATTATTGTTGGTTCTGCACGTGGATGTCTACCATATTCGACAAAGAATGGTGAATTCTTAGTGGCTTCAGAAGCCTGATTGTTATAGGCGAATTCGGCAGTTGGGAGTAATGTGCTCCAGTCTTCCACGCGTTTATCAGTATAAATACGAAGATATTGCTCTAGCGACTGATTTGTTCTTTCAGTTTGACCATCGGTCTCCGGATGATATG